TCCAGCCTTCTTTGGCCTTTTGCAGTCTTTCGCCATATGGTTTGGCTTTCTACAATTGTAGCAGGTGTCGGTAAACTTCCAAACCTTGGCTTGTTGCTTCCCTTTTTCAAGGGGCTTCCTCTTGCTCAAGTTGCCTAGCTCCAGTAAGTTAGCACGAGCCTCCATCATTGGAGTCTTCGCCGATGAATTACGGTTGTCCTCCTCAATACGAAGACGAACAACCAGGTCTTCAAGACTCATTTCCTTCCTCTTATGTTTGAGGTAGTTCTTGAAGCCATTCCAACCTGGTGGCAGCTTTTCAGTCACAGCCGCAACTTGGAATGAATCACACAGAGACATTCCTTCAGCATGGATATCGTGCAAGATAAGTTGAAACTCTTGCACTTTGGACACGACGGTCTTCGAGTCGACCATCTTGAAGTCAAGAAACTTGCCGACGACGAATTTCTTTGCCCCGGCATCTTCTGTCTTGTACTTCTTCTCCAAAGCAGCCGAAAGCTCTTTGGCAGAACCAACAGAGCTGTACACATTGTACAACTCATTACTAAGTCCATTCAGGACATAGTTACGACAAAGGTAATCACCGTGCCCCAAAGCTTCGTATGCGGCGCGTAGTTCATCATTAGTCTCATTTTTATCAATGACTGGAGGGTCATCCTTAAGGTATTTCACCGAACCCAAAGTGGTCTGGTAAAAATGCATTTTCTATTGCCACATCTTGAAATCAAGTCCGTTGAATTTTTCGGGCTCCTCAGCAGTAGGGACATGGACAGTAGGTACATGTTGACCGAATGGTGTTGTTGAGAACCTTCTCCGTTGTATGTCATCAGTTCAGTAGGTTGACTAGTATTCTTCTTGCGATTGTTATATCCTTGGTGTCAAAATTACACGGGAATCCTACGAACTGATATGTATTTTTCAATTCTTATAAATAATCTAAAATAGAAAATTACAATTGAACTGAAAAATAAATTAAAATTTAAAAACAAAACGGAAAGATTAAAGCCGAGGCGAGTAAAACTCTTTCCGCAATAAGAATACGCTCCGTGTGGCAGCTAACGGTTCAGGCGTAACTTCCCCAAAGATACAACGGCAAACGTCTCTAAATCTGTAGCACACCAGATTTACGAGCTCAGGCGAACTGGAACGGAGTCGAGAATTGAGCACTTATAAAATAGGAATAAGATTATCTCTCTGAAAATTTTTCTCGATTTTTATCCATAATATTTTTATCCCTCAAATATTCTTTTGGACTGAATATTTTTTTATCTCTCTTTCTTTTCTTTCTCCCTTTCTTCCTCTCTATTCTTTTTCTTCCACCTGGTGTATTTTCCATCAGCAGATGACCCTCATATTTATAGATGAAAGTGAGGGAGCAGAACATTGGTTGCCATACTGTATTATTACAATTATTGTTATAAAAGTGAAGAATAAGTATGGGCACATGCATGAGCAGCATATTGATCAGGTGGAAGAGGAAAAATCTGATTTTCCTTCACGTGGGCACATGCATTTCAATTTGGCAAATGGGGGACAAAGTCAAGTGGATGGGTCCCACTTAATAATTTCCACTCAATTCTTACACTTTCGAATTAATTAAACTCTTTTGGTAAATTTGATGTGTTTTTCCAATTTTTATATCTCTACCGTGCGTCCAAAAATGGGGGACTGAAATTGATTTTTCTCATAATTTATTTTGGGAACTCGGAGGTGAAGTGTTTGTAAATTTATCAAATTATTTCTCGATGATGTGGTTTTTAATTTGTGGTTAAGTAAAAGATTTATTTTATGAATTTATAAATCCATATGATAGTTTAATTTTCCTGGGAAATGGGTTTGTGTATGCAGATTTTGAGTGCCTTTATAAATATTAATCAAGAGACCATATTTTCATGTTTGCTTCATAAATGTTATGTTGTTGTTTTCATAATATATATTATTAATTTTTTTAACTTACTATAATAACAAACATTTCTATTGCTTTTTAAATTGTTATGAATATGTATAAACAATTGATCAATTTTTATTTTTTGTTGTTTTTATTCTTAGACGTTCAAGATTAAAGAAGAAGTTGAAGAAGAAGAAGAAGAAGAAGAAGAAGAAGAAGAAGAAGAAGAAGAAGAGAAGAGAGACGAAAAAATGTTAAAATAGAGATATGAGAGAGAGAAGGAATAAAGAGAAAGAAATGAGAAAGAGTGATAGAGCAGTTATTGATTTTAAATTTTGAATTGATTGTTTTATTTGTAACTTTCGATAGTGCCATTTTTGGAATTTTGTCTGTCCTATAACTTTAATGGAATTCATTTTTAAAAATGGAACGGTTATGTCTTTTGGGATTGATTATTTTGAGTTTGCTCGAGAACCAATCTATGTTTAATTCCTCTATTACAGAAGCATCCAAGATGGATCTGTTAGATCTATTTGGGATTAAATATGTGTAATTAATATATTGGGTCATTATATTGATTAGCCAAATTAAATGATTAAATTATTGTACATTGACTAAGGAATTGTACATTGACTAAGGAACTTAATTTAGATTGTGGAATGATTAAACGTGGACACCCGATAATATTATTATTTGGTGACGTAGCAAATAATAATATTAAACTTAAGGACCTAAATAGTAAATAATTTTGGTCAAAATTATTTATGGGTGGAGTCCCCAAAAGTCGTGAATAAAGTGATGCCCATTAGGATAACCCATAAAGAATAAAAAATGTTGCCTCTTAAATTCACATTCAATCAAAGTGCACATTATGTGTACACAAGTGGATAGGGAGGTTAGCTGATTAGGTGGGAATTAATTGCTCATCAATATAAAAGGAGGGTTGTGGCATTATATTTTCTTCAATAAGTTTACTTTTATACGTTCAAAAGAGAGAAAAAGAAGAAATATAATGATCACGGTCTTTTGGAAGCTTTCTAAATCCCAAATCCAATCAATCAATCAACATGAGTCTATAAGGTATGCTTCGCTATTTGGTTATTATTCTCAATTATTCAATATGAACGCTCTTGGAATTAATCGATTTATTTTGAATAATGTTAAATCCAATTCTAACAATTGGTATCAGAGCCTCTTCATATTAAATTTTGGGGAATCAATTTATATTTGGTCGTATTTATGGGATGAATCTGTCCAGTTACTTTGGGATCAAATATTCATGTAATTGATTTTTTTTTTTATCTGAATGTTCTCAGTTCAGTTACATGAAATTAAAATTGATTGACCCATTTTTTTTTTATTTTTTTTTTTTTTTATTTTTTTTTTTTTGTTTTCGTATGGATTTAATATGTGCAACATGAAAAATTAAATATTGAGAATTTTGAGAACATGAATCCATCAGGATCAAATTTGGGTACTATGTTGTGCGAAAATCATATAAAGTTGCAATATTATGTGAACAGTATCAGTGAATTATTTTTCTGATAAGTGATGTGAATTATTAAGGAGTAAGTCATGCTTGATTATTCCATTTAAAGTTTGATAGCCGATATTGAGAAAAATGTTCGGCACTTCATGTTTTATTTAAATGGATTGATTGAAACAAAATGTAATGGTGCCCTGAACCCTGCTCCCTATCGCCGTACGACTCATCAGGATATCACTACTACCCGTAAGGTAATGGTGCGCATGCACGGGGTATTGACTTCCCTGCATGGCGGGGAAAAGAATATCCCCGTTGATCGTATGGTCCTGGTGTCGGGGGAATCGAAATGCCTGTCTGGTCAGGATAATAAAATCCATGCGCACCGTACGGTACGACTCCGGAGGCATCGAACTGCCTGTCTGGCTGGCCTTCAAAATGATATCCCTGCGGACCATCTCGTACTGGTGCGAGGGGTCTCGAACTCTGGCTGGGCAGACCAGTCTGTAGCCTCCGAGCCTCATCGATCATCGCCTTCCTGTCCCTCTTCCGACGAACAGACGCATTGACACCCCGACTTCTAGTGTGTCGGGTGCTAGAACCATCATAATACTCATCGAACGCCTCTTCGTCGTCCCTGGCAGAAGATTGTCCAGGTCTGCTAACACCCTGAATAAAAAATATAATTAATAATTTTTTCATATGTAATAATTATTGTAATAAAAATTAAAATAGATTATAATTGATTTTTATTTTAATTTATAAATTTTATTATTACAAATTATTATTATTAATTATAATTATTATTGTTGTAATTTATTATTATTATTATTATAATTATTATAATTAATTATAATTATTATTACAAATTATTATTATTAATTATAATTATAATTATTATTAGAATTTATTATTATAATTAATTATAATTATTATTACAAATTATTATTATTAATTATATTTATTATTATTATATGCATTTATAATTTATAATTATTATTATTATTATTATTTTTATAATTATAATTAATTACAATTTATTCAATTTATTATTATTATTATAATTTTTAACTATTATTATTATTATAATTTAAAATTGTTATTATAATTATTATAATTATTTCTAATTTATAATTATTATTATTATTATTAATATTATTATTATAATTATTTATAATTGTTATTATAATTATTATAAAAATAAATCCAAAAAGTGTCCGGCCGGCTCGTGACTGGCCAGCGGAGCCGGTCGGATTTGGTCCGTCCGGCCCCCGACGGCGCGCGTTTTTTACGGTGTCCGGCGGGGCCGGACGCCTTTTTCGCCGTCTGGAATCGACGTCTGGACGACGCCGCCGCGTCCGAAGGCGACAGCCGGATGCGGCCTCAGATTCAAAAACAAATTTTAAAAAAATATTTAGCGTGTAAAAGAAATATACCTTACTAGAGAAGTATGCTTTGTTGAGGCCGTATGATTTTTTTGATATTTGTTCAGATTTTTTTAGATATTCGAATGACTTATTGAAAGTTCGGGAATTTAGAAAGATTGAGAGTTTAGACATATAGAGAGAGACAAAGGGTTAAGGCCAACATAATAAAAAAGTAATAGGGGCGGTGAACAGTAAATGAAAAAAAAAAAATGCGAATGAAGATATGAGAGAATAGGTGTTCGCTTACCCAATTGCTTCTCTCTCGATTCCTCTTTTCTACAGAATTATATAAATTTCGTGTTTCCTTGAGGTATTTATCTTTTTGATTGATTTAGGGTTAGGGTTGTCCATAAATTGAGGTGTTCTGCCTGACGATGTACGCTGATCAAGTGGAGGCTCGAGGTAATAGGTCAATTAAGGACCGCCTTAACGGGAATTTCGCCTCCGATTCCGGTCGCAGGCGTTCTATATCCGGAAAGAGGTTAACTTCAACTCTTGTATACAATTTTTAATTTGTTCTATTTATGGGAGTACTTTTTGGTTGTTATCTTTGTATTTTGGTTGAGTAGTGTGAGGACTGAGGAGGTTATTTAGACCATGTTGTTCTTTGAGTGTCTATATATCATTATATCGTTTGGGGGAAAAATATAGAAAAAATTCAATCAAACTTTAGCTCTCATATTTTAGTAAGCCAACGTTCTGTATCGACGCTTGTTGTTCCTAGTAGCTCGCATCGTTGCTTCCTTCTGAGACCCTAGTTCAATTCTCAAGAGTTTTACTTTTATGTAATTCTATCTGAACCTTCATAGTTATGGCTGAGTTGATTTGAGCGAACCACGGATTATATGAAAGTTGTGCTGCTATATCCTGATGGAGTTGGTATTTTTTTTTATTTTTTTTTTTTAGTTGTTTGATTTGTAATTACAATTTTTTAAACCAGCACTTTAGTAGAGCTTATGATTAAAATATCAGTGCAGTTTTTTATCCAGTGGATTGGTTAGTACATCTGGCATGTAAGAGCATGTAGTGTGAAATATATATTTGATAAAGAAGAGTAAATTTACCCATGGAAGATCACAGAATCTTTGTTCTTCCAATCCTGGGGAAAATAAGTCCCTAATATAGCCAAGTCATATTTTTTTTCCCCCCATTTTCCTATCCAGGCAGAGAGTAGATGATGACAAATGGGAGCATGATCTTTATGAGGACAGTGCAGCCCAAGTATCAAGTAATGTGAATGTTTCCAGTAAAGTTTCAGCATTTTATAAATTTCTTGTGTGATACTTAATTTTGGAGGCCTCTACTTTGCATGAGATGGTTCTGATTTATACTTATGGCCCTATGAAGGCCGAAGGGTTGGTGTGAGAGATCTTCGTTCCAAGCTGCAAAGGAAGAGCATCGAGCAAGCTAATAAAAGCGTGAAAGGATCTGTTTCTGGAGGTGCAAGGGATTTACGTGAGAAGTTATCTGGTATAATGAACTCTCATCCTGCCGAACCCAATAGACCTACTCGGAAAAGTGTCATAGCCAAAGTCTCTGTGTTGGAGAAAAAGGTGGCGGGTTCGCTCTCAAAGAAAAAGGGTCAACAAAAGGTATGCAATTTAATTATTACTTCTAACAAATATAAGCATATCTTGAAATGAGTAAGGGCTCTCAAAGAAAAAGGGTCAACAAAAGGTATGCAATTTAATTATTACTTCTAACAAATATAAGCATATCTTGAAATGAGTAAGTAAGGGCTCGCTTGTTTACAAAATAATCCGTCCAAAATGAGTTATTTTGGTTAATCATAGTTAATTTTGAAAAATGTGGTATGGTTAGTTGTTGGTGGGATTTTAAGAATGTATTAAAATAATATTTAAAGTACAACAACAACAACAACAACATAGCCTTTAGTCCCAAGCAAGTCGGGGTAGGCTAGAGATGAAACCCAATAGAAACACAAAAGACTCGAACCGAAAGGAAGAGATCGAAAAAAAAGAGAGAGAGAGAGAGAGAGAGAGAGAGAGAAAGGAGCAAAAGTCCCGGTTCTGGCACGTTGATAGCGAGCCTCCAAGCGCTCCTATCCACCACTAAATCCTTGGAGATATTCTAATCTTTAAGGTCTCTCTTAACCGACTCTTCCCAAGTGAGTTTAGGCCGACCTCTACCTCTCTTAACATCCTCGACCCGCTGTAGAACTTCCCTACGCACCGGCGCATCAGGAGGCCTCCGTTGGACAAGTCTGAACCACCTCAGCCGATGTTGAACCAATTTCTCCTCAATTGGGGCCACCCCGACCCTATCTTGAATATCCTCATTCCGGATTCTATCCCTTCTTGTGTGCCCACAGAACCAACGCAACATACGCATCTCTGCTACACTTAGTTGTTGCACATGTTGCCTTTTTGTAGGCCAACATTCAGCACCGTATTGCATCGCCGGGCGAATCGCCGTCCTATAGAACTTACCTTTTAGCCTTTGTGGCACCCTCTTATCACAGAGAACGCCCTCCGCCTGACGCCATTTCAACTAACCGGCTGCAATTCTATGCCTAACATCAGATGCCGCCATCCTTTTGTAGCATCGATCCCAAATACCGAAAAGTCTCCTTCTTGGCCACCACTTGCCCGTCAAGGTAACGTCACCATCATCATGTGAAGCCATGCTGAAAACGCACGTCATGTACTCGGTCTTCGTCCTACTAAGTCTGAAGCCTTTCGACTCTAACGCGTCCTTCCACAGCTCCAACTTCCTATTTACCCCTGCTCTACTCTCGTCAACTAGCACCACATCATCAGCAAAGAGCATACACCAAGGGATATCACCTTGTATGTCCCTTGTGACCTCATCCATCACCAAGGCAAATAGATAAGGGCTCAATGCTGACCCCTGGTGTAGTCCTATTTTAATTGGGAAGTCGCTGGTGTCGCCCCCACATGTTCGGACACACGTCATCGCATCCTTGTACATATCCTTGATGAGGGTAATGTACTTAGATGGGACTTTGTGCTTTTTTAAGGCCCACCACATGACATTTCTCGGTACTCTGTCATAAGCCTTCTCTAGGTCGATAAAGACCATGTGCAAGTCCTCTTTTGGTCCCTATATCTCTCCGTCAACTGACGTATTAGGAAAATCGCCTCCATGGTCGACCTTCCAGGCATGAACCCAAATAATTAAAATTGATATGATGTAAAAAGTAAAAAAATAAATGATTGGAAATGATAGGTAGTTAAAATTATGTGAGTTGATAAATAGTGAATTAAAGTTGATGTGATGTGTAAGAATGATTGGATTGTATTATCAATTATATGAATAATATTGAAGTTAGTGAGGTTGAGTTAAAGATGAGTTAGATCTTGAGTATGAATTGAATGTGAGTGAAATAATTTATAAACAAGCATGGCCTAAGTGTCAATTACTACATAATATAGCTTTGCGTTTTTCATCCATGACCTAATGGCTGATTAATGTTTTGTTCTTGTCTGCTCGGGTTTCATGAAATTTTAATCTCGATAAATATACTACTGTTATACCAAGATAATTTTATCAGGGTAGACATGGAAATGAAGATTGAGTACATTCTAAATTAGCAACAAGCTAATCTTTGTGGGACACCCGTAATAGTAATGTGGCCGATTTCTGTGGGAGGGGGGAGTAATATATTTATTTATTTATTTTCTATTCCATCATGGTAAATTAAAGCATTGTCATCTCAAAAAATATGTATTTATGCAGGTTGGGACAGTTGATAACATCTTGCAATCCTTGGGTCTTGAGAAATATTCAATTACGTTTCAGGCTGAAGAAGTATGTTAATTAATTTATGAGTCAATTTTCAGTTGGATGTTTTTCAAGGATTTTTTTACCAAGTTAGTTGTTACGAGAATAAAACTGCATGTCGTGATTTGGCAGGTCGATATGACAGCCCTCATGCACATGACTGATGAGGACCTGAAAGCTTTGGGAATTCCAATGGTGAGTATAGTTACATATTATCTCTTCAGCCTTGAGCTTTGTTTTGCATTTAGGCCGCCCGTCAATTTTGCTTTTTCGTCTCATGTTTGGATTAGAGCAAAACATGATCGTTAAATATTTTTTGCTCAGTTGAAAGATTCTCCATGCTATAACTTTCATAGTCACCAGCATCTTAGCCATGGCACCTGCTTTGTAATGTCTATCATTTTGGCATGAGCTTATGCTGAATCCAAAAGTTGATGGGGCATTATTATTTGTTTCAGGGTCCAAGAAAAAAGATACTTTTAGCAATGGAGTCGAAATCTGATGTGTAAGTGGGGATACATGGCCATTTTTGGGCTTCCTTGGATAGTCGAGTGACATCGGTTGCCTGGTCATTCCTTGTGCCAGCCGACTTAATTTTGTTTTTGCACGACTCGTGATGCTCTTGGAGTGGCTTTAAGTAGCCTGCGGAAAGCAATTGAAAGAGCTGTATCATTGTAACTGAAATATGAATCATTGACAACCAAAGTCCTTTCGGTTTATTTACAATCACATATCTGGCTTTTGGTTTGTATATTAAAAGTTTGGCTTTATTTACAATCACATATCTGGTTTTTGAATGAGAATCATATTTAGTCAAAATTGTTTATTTGTGTTTTTATTTATGATAAATAGTAAATACGAAATATGATTCATTATGTTCAGTTGAACAGAAGATTGACTTGTAGAATTTAAATTTAAGTTTACAATAAGATAGAATTTAACAATCTATCATGAACGGTTTCAGTGTAATTTTGAAATTACTCAATCTTGACAAATGAATCACACCAATATATATAGAATGAATTAAACGGATCATGGAAGATAAGTTTTATTTTGTACAAACTAAGTAAATAAATTAGAGATCAGTTATTGATCATAGTAAGATAATGAACGGGCATATATTCGATGATTACTACTTTGATTTACTAAAATGTGAGATTCATTTATTGATTCCATAGACTATGTAATTGGGTATTTATATTGTTTATATGATAAGCCGTTATTATTTACGAACACTATGTTCTGGTGCGTCACGTTAATGATGTCCTTGAAATGAACACAAAACGCTTATCATGCCAAATTCTGCAGGTGGATTACTTTCCGCCATAACAATAAAGTTGAGTGGTACTAATTTCGGGATCAAGAAGTTATTTATTTAAATTATCAATAACTAATTAATTAATGAATGTCATATCTTAAACATGAGAAATAATTCGAGTAGATAAATTCTGGAGTCCTATTATATGTAATTTGATGTTAAATAGGAAAATCAATGTTATTATTTTAGTAGAATGAAGTATTATTCATATGGATTGAGTGTTAGTGGACCAAGACTAAAGTTATCAACTCTTATGGAAAATCCTTATTTGATACCTTGTGTACGTCCATATTGTAGAGTGTAACCTTTAAATACACCAAGTCCCTTATGTTTTCACTCGATTTAAGATCCTTATAAACTAGGCCAAAATCACAAGAAACAAAGAAAAAATTCGTGTTTATCAAGCACAAAGTCTTCTTCTTTCTTTCCCAAGATCAAATCACGTGAGTTGAAGGGGAATTCCAAGAAAAACTGTTTCCCACCAGACAACAACAGAGAGGTTCTCGGGACATAAAATAAGAATAAAAGGCAATCCGTTCGCACTAGGGCTGGGATTTTCGAACCGGAAACTGGAAAACCGGTCCGGACCGAACCGAAATAAACTGGTTCGGTCCGGTTATTCATGTGAAAAGCAGGTTATTTCCGGTTCAGTTAATTAGCTTCATTTTTCGGTTCCGGTTTTCGGTTTTTAATTCACAAAAAGTAAAAAAACCGCGGAACCGGTTGTGTACATATAGTCATATATTGACCATATTTATTACTTAGTTGTCTAATAAAACTAACCTTGGTTAGTTTATTTTGGGCAAATAAATAATAAAATTAACCAGCCTTAGTCAGATTAACTTCTCACATTCTTCATTAACTTGTAATTTTTTTTTCCTCTCTCAAAAAAATCGAACCATTTGGTCCATTTCTATTCTTCTTCTTCTTCCCGCCGTTCCCGAGCCCCAAATTGCAAATCTCCAAAATCAATTAATCGAAGAACAGAGTTGAGATTGCATCAATTTTGATTCCATTTCGATGTCCAAACCCTAAATTAATCTTAAAATCCATCATAAATCCCTTTTCCATTTGACATTTAAAACCCTAAATCGATTTCTGTTTTGATTTTGAGCTTCAAATTTTGAAGTTTTGAACCCTAAAAATCCCTCTTCCTTCATTCCTTGGATTCTCAATTGCTCATGGCTTCAGAATCCGAAAAGAGTAGCCACAGTCAAAGCTCAAACCCGTCTAAAGATGTTGGTACCTCAAAAGGGAAGAAATAGAAGTTACAGAACCCTAATTCGAAGAACCCACAGCCACAGAAGAAAAGAAGATTACGGGAAGCTTCAGAAGGAAAGAAGAGGAGGTCGTGGGTGTGGACCCACTTCCAAATCGTCCAAAAGCCACTGATGGTTGCAAATGAAGATGGTGTGAAGGTGGAAGTTGAAAAAACTACCCGAGCTGAATGTAAGTATTGCGAATCTGATCTAGCTTGCAACTCGACTAGGAATGGAACTAGTACTCTCCAAAAACACCTTGAATTGCATTGTGATAGTTATCCTGGTAGTGCTAGAAACTTAGGAGAGGGTCAGAAACATTATGCTGTGGATTTAGAGGGTAAAGAATTTGTTGTTACACATTGGACACAAGAAAATTGCACTAATGCTGCTGTTGAAATGATTGTGATTGATGAAATGCCATTTTCTGCAATTGAAAAGAGTGGTTTTAGAAGATTTTGTGTTGTAGCTGTTCCTAAGTGGCAAATTCCTTGTAGGAAAGTTGTGGTTAAGTCTTTCTTAACCATGTACAATGCTAAGAAAGAAGCTTTAAAAACTGAACTTAAGAATCATTGTGTTAGTTTGACAACTGACACATGGACTTCAATCCAAAACATCAATTACATGGTGCTAACAGCCCATTTCATTGATGCTAATTGGACTATGCATAAGAGGATTCTTAATTTCTGTGTCATTCCAAATCATCAAGGGATAACAATAGGAAAGCTTCTTGAAAATTGCTTGCAAGAGTGGTCAATTAGAAAAGTTTTAACCATTTCAGTTGATAATGCATCTGCCAACAAGGTTGCAATGGATTATATGAAAAGAAAGCTTAATAATGGTGATAAACAACTTGTTTTAGGGGGGAAATATCTCCATGTAAGATGTTTGGCTCATGTGGTGAATCTGATTGTTAAATCTGGATTGAATTGTATGGATAATTCAGTGGCTTCTATTAGGAATGCAGTAAAGTATGTTAGAAGTTCACCTGCTAGACTTCAAGAATTTAAAGAATGTGTGAAAAAAGAAGAGTTGGATAGCAAAAAGGTTTGTGTGTTAGATGTGCCAACAAGGTGGAATTCTACCTTCATAATGCTGGAAACAGCTTATGAGTTGAAGTTGGCATTTGATAGGCTAGCAGAGGAGGACACTAAATATAAGGGGTACTTTGATGAAGATGAAGATGAAGAAGATGATGAGCATGATGTCAGTCATGTGACTGATTTGAATCAGTTGGTATTTGGAACTGAGGGGGCAGAGGGTGAGAAAAGGAAAAGAAAAAACAAAGGGAAAAAGAGAGTTGGGCCACCAACTGAGGAAGACTGGCATAGGGCTAAGGCTTTTATTAAGTTCTTGAGAGTATTCTTTGATGTCACTCTTAATGTTAGTTGCACTAACACACCAACTGCACATAAAGCATTTAGTGAGATTGTGACAATCAAGTGTGAAATTGATGATCTGTTTGATGCACCAGTGACAACTCAAAGCACTGATTATGAGAAGACTTTGTTTAATATGTCTGTGCAAATGAGGAGGAAGTATAAGAAGTACTTTGATACCATAGATGATGTGAACAAACTTCTTCTTGTGGCTTTGGTGTTGGACCCTAGATATAAGCTGAGGTATTTCTCAAGGGTTCTTCAAACAATGTTGCTACATGATAGTGATTATGTGAAGAGAAAAACTGAAGAGCTCAAAGATTTGATTGTCACACTCACTGATTTATATGCATCAATGAATGGTGGTCAAAGTAGTAACACAAAGAAAATCTAGGGAGATTCTGAAGCTGAACAGAAAGAAGCTAGCAGCAGGTAACTTTTTAGTTTAATTTTTTGTTCTGAAATTGTATGACTTATTTATTTTGTGTGCACAGTGCATATGTTAATATATTGTTTTTTTTTTTGTTTTGCTTTCATTTGCCACTTAGGTGCCCATCCATGAAGGTGACAGGGAGAAGGGCAATGATGATGGAGGATTGGCAAAAAGATCTTGAAGATGGAAATGCAATTGTAATTGCTCATGAAGTGGATAGATACTTGCTTGATCCTATAGAGAAACCTAAGGGTAATTGGGATATTTTGAATTGGTGGAAGTTAAATGGATCCAAGTATCCTAACTTGCAAGCTCTTGCCAAGGATGTTTTGGCAATCCAAGTCAGCACTGTGGCATCTGAGGCTTCTTTTAGTACTGGAAAGAGGGTAATTGATCCTCATAGGAGTTCATTAACTCCAAGGTCAGTTGAAACATTGATTTGCCTACAACAATGGTTGAAGTCAGATGCAATTACCAGCCTTGCATACACCCCTACTCCTGAGGAAATGGAATGGTTTGAGAAAACAGAACAAGGTGAAGTTTATGAATAATTGAATGTGATATGACTTAAAATCTTAACTCATTCATATTTCATACTATATTCTTAATGTTTTTTTATTTTGTGCTATTGTTTTCCACTTCACACAGAGTTGGACCAAGAAGAAAGAGAACTAAGGAAAAAACTGGAAGAAAAAAAAGATAAGGAAAGCAAAACTTCAAAGGCCAACAAAGGAGTAGATGCTGGAAAATCATCTAAGAAACAGTCTGGTGTCACTGGTGTTTGAAGATTAAAGTTTGAACAATTTATTTCACTGCTTTAGTGCTTTGCTTTATGAATTATGACTTGTTGAAATTTGGATAATTTGTATTTGGTAAGAACTTTTTAGTTTTGTCATTTGTGTGCTTGTGGTTGTGGCCTTGTGGGAAGTTGGAACTGGGAACTTGAAGTCTTGAAGACTTGTGACTTGAACAATTATGATTATCTATCATGCTTTCATCTTGTGTTTGTTGTGGATATTTATTGAAGTCATGAAGTGTGGTAACTGATTTCAGTGATTTGTGGTTTGTAATGTAATTGTGTATTGAAGTGTGTCTTGAAGACTGGAAAGTGGTAACTGATGTGTGGTTGATTTGTAATGTATTGACTTGTTAGAACTTAGGTATTAGTTGTCTTGTATTCTTGTTTAATGTTTTGTAACTTTAGTTGTTTTTGAGCTCGGTTATTTTGCACAATTCGGTTATTTGTTGAGATCGGTTATCTAAAAAAACCGGAAAAACCGAACCGAAACCGGTTTTCCGGTTCTAAACCGGTCCCTGCCAAAAAAAATAAGTTAACCGAACCGATTTGAAGACTAAGAAAACCGAACGGTTCCTAAGAAAAATGACAATAACCGAACCGAGCCTACCCCTAGTTCGCACAGTCTTGTAGAGTGTTTAATCGACTCAAGTTGGCAAAAAAATTTGAAATTGTAAGTTTCTTGTAGTGCCCACTTACTTTTCTGTAGAGAATACTATGTTTTAAAAAATAACTAGTTTTTCCCCGTGCATTTGCACGTAAAGTGATATAGTAGAAGAAAAAGTAGAATAAAATCAAAATCATAACTTAATAAATGAGAAAAAAAATAATTAAAAAAAGTGAATATAAGTATTATTAAATATTTATTTAAATACAAAATTCGTGGTTTTCCTATCGTCAGAATCCCCATCACAACAACTACTTAAACCTCTTAACTCGTTACTCTGGGATTTGATATTTCAAAATATTTGATGTATCTTTGTAATATCCAAAAAAATATTTTTTTATTATTGTATAACTGCAATAGAAAATAAAGATATTTGTAGTAATTCTTAATTAGTTGAGAAATATATATTTATATAATACCAATAAATATATAGTATCAAAATAATAAATATTTTATATTTCAAGATATAAAAAGGCGTTACATAAATGGAAATCATCAAAACTAGAACCTGTTAAATTAAATTGTGTAACTGAAAGTTACATATTATTATTAAATAGTGAACATATTTTTATTAAATGAACACCTATTTTTATTAAATGAACTCATATTATTATTAATTGTTGGCTGAATATATATATAATTGCACCTTACCGGTGGCCGCCACCTGCCGCCGATCTCGCACCTTATTTCACACACAAACACGCAGTTGGGAGCCGACGACCACCCGACAATGCCGATCGCCGGCGTCCTCCAGAAGTGCCGTCGCCGACCAAGACAAGAATACGGCGCCGGGAAATCGCACCTCAAACTCAACATTAATGGCGAACTAAAAAAAAATCTCTCTTTCCACCTCATCACCCCGACAGGGCGGGGCAAGCCGGAAGCGGCGGGATTTTCAGGCGTCTGCGACACTGAGGGCGCCGGTGACGGTGGCAGTGATTTTGGACGGGAAAGTTGAGATTGGATTAAGGGACCTGCTTTGAAGAATTTGATAAGTGTGAAGGATTTAGATGCAAATTAGGTTTAGTTTATTTTGAAAATTAGAAGTGTATCAAGGACTTGAGTGCAATTTTATATATTTGCATAATATTTCAATTAAACCCACATGTCAAATTTGTAATTATTGAAAGTTTATAAAAAATATGATTTTTTTCATTTGTTTTGTTTACATATATATTGTAAAATAAAAATTATTATTTAGAAACAATAAAAAATATTAAAATAATATAAAAATGATAAATAAAAATATTGAATGCTAAATTAATTATTTAAATATAAATTATATTTATTTAACAAGAAAATACTATAAAAATATATATAAAAATATTAAAATACTAAATATACTTTTATAATTATAAATAATAAGATATTTTAATTATTTAAGTTAATTTAACTTACAATTATATCTATTAAAACTCATTCTCGAATACACATGATGTACATGGGATCGTATACAATAGTGCACTTTATAAAACAACACGTTGCAATTTATAAAACAAGACGTCGCACTTTATAAAACAAAAATATTGTATTGTAAAACGCAAGCTACACTTTATCACCGCACTCCACAATTGATGGCAATAGATCCCACCAAAAATACTACACAACGTAAATCTAATTTTATCATCCATCACATAATCCATCCAAAGAAAAAAAAACACAAGCATCATAACGTATCAAAATTAAAGTAGTACACTTTATATATCATCACGTTGCACTTTATAAAATAACACGTTGCACTTTTTAAAACAACGCGTTGCACTTTATCACGACTATCAAATCGCACCAATAGTGAATGAAACTGATCCAGCTCAAAAAATTTCAACCAAAAATAATATAAAAATCATAAATAAAATTGTTAACTTGTTTAATATAATTTTAAAAAATAAGAAAAACAAGAAAATATAAAATTCTCGCACGACATAACGTGAATAGTATAACACAAGATATAAATTAGTCACTGTCAAATTGCACAATAGTATTAGAACATATGCACATAATGTGTTCGAAAAATACACGTTATAATAACAATGCGTATTTTCACAAAATATTAAAATTAAGTCATTTCATTCCAAAATCAACTTTATATACAAAAAAAAAAAATAAAAAATATCAGAACTGACCGAACCATAAAAAAAATTATATTTTATCTATGTATATTTATTTATTTTCATCAAATAACAATATAGAGTGTTAACTAACAAATTACAAATACTACATATATGTTTTGTGCAAAAGAAAAAAAGGAATAAAATAATTGCACTTTGAATGCACATTAGTATTATTCTGATTTCACATTAACGACTGTTAGATTGCACTTTAGTGTTCGACGGATTGCACATTAACCCTGCCAGATCGCACACTAATATGCGCGACTATATTTTGGTGAATTTGGATAAATTTATGAACCGATTGGAACAACTAATGAACAACTTTATTATTTCATAAATTATAAAGGATATTTTTAATGTGCACGATCCAATGCGATAATGTGCAATTTAAGCGTATATATTATGCACGAATCTAATTTTTATAAAATTATAGCTTTGCCACACATATATTTTTTTCTTTGAGAAAGAATGTAATACATATATTTTTTTCTTTAAGAAAGAATGTAATACTAGTATTGACTAGGGATTGAACAAGAGCACGTGGCCCACAATTCCATAAAGTCTATTTTTTTTTTATTTCTACAGGACGGCGAAACTAAGCAGAAATACGTCTCAATTACTAATTATAATAGTGATAGTGGTAAATGAATGCTTTCCTTCCACCACCATCAGATGGAGTCAAACCTGCTTTTTCAGAATGTTTGCTTTGCCACACATGTTCAAATTTAATAAATTAAAATATTATATTGCATTCAAGTCCTTCAACAATATCAAATTCTCAAACAATTAACCCCAAATCCAAACATCATTTTTTTGCTCCGTATATGCCCATGGAGACGCCGCCGTCAACTGACCACCGCCTGGTCGACGTGGTGAGAGATCTCAACTCCGGGAGAAGGCGGCTGTGCCGACGGCGGCGACGCTAGAGATGGAGGATGTGTTGGTGTTGAGAAGTCGGATAAACTGGCCATGCCGATGTCGAGCAGAGCGCCTCTGTGGTGATCGTCCGGCGGGACTGTGGTTCCGGAGGCAGCGACCGGCCATGCCGGTAGCTGAGAGGGTGGCCTTGGTGGTGATGGTGGTTGCCGGCGGGCTTGGCTTGTTTGTGTGTGTGTGTGTTTTTGTAAAATTAGTGTGTGGTGTGTGTGAGAGAGGAGGGAAGGATGAGTGTGTGTTGTGTGTGAGAGAGGGGATGTGGTAGGTGACGGATTTGTTGGGGTCCTTAAGGATGGTGGATGTGGGTCCCATTTAAATATGTGTATTGATTAACTTACTCTTAAATTATTGGTCAAATACACATATTTGACGACAATAAGATCAAAATTACCAGATTGACATTAATGATTGACCATAATTTGACTTCATCATCACCATTGATATGGTTGATCCCATGGTCCAAGTTCATTCTTATTTCTGGCATTAAGAGTCATTCTCATATCATCCATTCTCTATATATATATATATATAATTTTAANACTTTTCAAAACATTTTTCACTTTAAAATTGAATTTTATTAACATTTCTAAAATTGCAGTTAAGCCACTTGGACCTATCAAATTCTCAAATGGAGGCCGAACTCATACACAACCCTAACCGATCAGTCATCTTCACCGGCGACCGCCGATCGCCTACCCCTCCCCTACGACTTGTTATAGGCTGTCGAAAAACAACCTCGAATTATGGCCCCGACGACCGCTTATACGCCATCTTTTTTCCACTGCCACCGCTGGCATGCTCTGCCTTCGCCGCCGCGGCCATTACTTCAGTCGTACAAATATTTCACAACAACCGCCGGTATTGAATGGCGGGGAAATGGGGAAACGTCATCCCGAGATGAATCTCAAATTCTGGCGAGGCGATCTCAAGCGGTCTGAAAGCTACTACTCGAATGTGCGGGGCTTATTGGATAGCGTGTATGTCAACGGAGAGTCGTGTGTTTTCAGGAGGGGCTGGAGTCATTGGAGATGATTCGTTGAAGCGGACATGCTTGGTTGGCGGCGACGGCGGGCTGTGGTGGCATTTGGTTTGATTGTTGGCGGCGACAAGACCGACAGGGGATGTTGCGGCGGCGGTTTGGTGGCGGAAATCGAGAGTTGCCGACATCAATGAGATGTTGGCGACTGTGTGTATTGTGTGTGTGTCCCGTTTTTTTGTGTACGTGTATATGTGTGTGTGTGTGTGAGAGGAATGGTGTAGGTTTGGTAGGGTCCACCAATTGAGTTAGAATTGATGTAATGACTAATGTATCAAATACACATATTAGACTACGATATGTTCAATTATTTACCATGTCTGACTGCCATTAATAAAATTTGACTTGATGGATCCAATGGCCCAGAATCATTCTTATTTCTTTCACTATTGTTGTTTGCTTGTTGTTTCTCATATGATCCTACCTCTCTCTATATATATATCACCACATGAACACTTCACTAATCTCATAAACAAATTATGACCGAAATAGCTCAAATTAGTATCACAAAAAGCACTGTCTCAAAAACATCATCATAAGACTGATATGTCAACAAAATGAATTCCAAACTCTTTACGTCCCAATTCTAACTATTTTTCTGTTGATTACCGATATCCAAGATTTTGAAGATTTTGGTTATCTTCCAATAGCCGGTCATATTCTAGAAGCAGATCCTCAGCTTGTTTCTGAAGAGCAACAACATGTGCTTCAGCGGTCTCCACTTGCTTCTCCTTTTCGGCCAACTCCAACTTCAGCTTGTTCAAATTCTCGGTTACAGAAGATAATTCCTTTCTAAGTCGTTTGATTTCTGCAGCAGCTTTTTCTTCCATTTCTTTGAGCTCCAACTTCTCTTTCTCAAGCCTCCCATATTCTTGCTTCGAAACTCCTGTATTGCTCCTTATTTTGATCAGCTTTTGCATGTAATGGTGTATGCGTTCGATTAGAAAACCGAGACATAGCGAGAACCCTGAAAGAAAAAAAAAAATTGAAGTTATCATATATCAAATGTAGTTTCCTCAAAAAGGAGAAGGGACAAGACTACATGAATTAAACAGGAAACGTTGTCAAGCACGATGATTGGTTAAGCCATGTTTGATTGAATGTTTTACAGAAAATATCCTTTTCTTCATTGTTATTTACTCATATTCTCTGGTGTTAGAAAAAAAGGGCAAGGCAAATGTCTCATAATTTCATTAGTTATAGCAACATCTGATTAAAATGTGGTGGAGGTACACAGATATTGTTCTGAGGAATGACATAAGAAAATAGAATAATATATTAGCAAAAAGAGCATCCGCATAAGATTAGATTAAACAATCCCCTTTCCTCAAATCCTTCCTGTACTATTTTACAAAGAAAAATCAGTGAAACTGAAACAGAAAAAAGGAACAACTACAGATATGTAGTCCTTTTGTAGACAACCTTGTTTTTACAAAACACTTAACCCAAATAAAATGAGATGATGCCAAATGTCTTCACCATATCTAATTGTACAACATTATGGGGCTTGGATCATGCTATCTACTGTTTAATTTGATTAATCGATCATGGCAACAATAATACATCTATATAATTCACAATCTATCTGCATACATATTATAACTTTTTGTGTGTTCTATTCTGCAAATAATTCAATTGACATCCGTCATTTGAAACTCAGTGTTAAAAGCAAATAACCGTGGGGATTGGCATGATCCTGTTCAGAGATTATATTATTGAAACTTAACATATTGCACCTAAACCTTTACACACCATTTCCAAATGATAGAGCATGGCACTCTGTTAGCTATGCATGTCATGAGTTCGAATATAAGCATTTGAGTAGAAAATCTTGTTTTCAATAACTGAGTTTTATACCCTCTTATTTCAACGCCTCGAATTCAAACTCGTACCAAAATATTGTAACTCAGTTGTATGAACCAATGTATAAAAGAGTGACAAAACCCATATGGCTTTCATAGAAAAATAAGACCAAAATAGACCCAAAGGCCAGATACAGCAGTTACAGTAGCACATAAGCAAGAAACACGAATTTCGTTACGCACAAACAAAAAAGTGTGAAGGTAGATATTCTTAAAAAGACTCAAGTTATTAGAAGCATACCCATTAAAGTAGCCTCTAACAAATTGGTCCTCCACATCACTTGATCCATAGGTGTCATTGTACCATGCTTAGCACCCTTGTTCTGTATTTTGAGTATGCTGATTAAATTCGATAAGAGGATGACAAATATAGTGCCAGCAATGGTTAAAACCGTAGCCCTTCTCATTTTCACCTGGTCTAAGCACTTAATTACCAGTTCCCTTAAAGGCCCAATTTTCACAACTAAGAGAAACGCCACTAAACCCTCCAAACAGACAACCAAAAAGAACAAAGGGATCATCTTTGCCACTATAAGAGTAGAAACTCTCTTTTCAACACTAGACAACTTCAGATCTTTTCCGATTTGAGAAGAGAATCGAGGAAAATAATAAGTGAACCCCACCTCAATTTGTTTCAAGAATATGAGTAAAGAACCTTTTCCTCTAGACTTATTCACAAGCTAATATAACTCAGAAACATCTAGCTAGAAGGACCTTTTTCCTTTCGAAGAAAAGAAAAAAAAAATCAAATATTTGGCATTAAACTGCCTGAACTTCTGAAAAAAAAAAAAGGAAGTA